CTGATTGTGTTGTAACAGCCCATGCTTTTTCCTGTCTTCCTGGAAGGTTAACAACAGAGGCCTACCAGTAAATGAAAGGAAGGGAAAAAAAAGGAAGAAAGAAAAAAGTTAGGGCCCTCCCCCACCTAACTCAGCTGCCAACTTCCTGTTTGCCCATTCTGATTGTTTGCTCTCTGGGAGCTCGGTTAGATGAGTAAATTAGCTCCTATACTATTTTCTCTGGTCCACTCAACTAGTAGTCCAGAACCAGAATTATCTCCCTGCCCACACAGCTGCTGAGGGTAATCACTTACCCCTTCAATTGTAAGGAGCACATGATGAACTTGAAAAGAGACACTTCCTGGGTACTTCAGGGCACTCACTTCCTTGCCTCTTTGTCTCCTCATCCACTACAGCTCTGCTTGCTCTCTGGTACCTTGGTTGCTTGAATACAAGAGCCCCCTAGACCAGCTGGGGCAGCCTTTTCTAATCTGCTCAGCTAAGAACAGGAGCCTGCATCTTGCAGAGTTAGCCTGCTCATTATTAACCAACTTCTGTGCTGGTAAATATCAATATCAATTTTCATTGGAACAGCCTCAATTTTAAATCTACAGTAGTAGTACATGTGAACTTTAAGTCATTGAGATAGCGGTCTAGACCATTCCAAGTCTTCATTCCATTCCTATACCCTTCTGAATTAATGTTTGGGACACAAAAATGAGATGGAAGAACTTTATAAATTTGACAATGTACTCCTTGGACTCCAGTCTTTCCAGTAGAGTTCCTGTACCATTCTCTGGCAAAAACAAACAAGACTTGCATGTGAGTTCTGTACACATATTGCCATGGAAGCATGAAGTTCAGTCTGATTGGAACAAAAGAATCATTCTGTCAAGAATCAATCATCCAGACCATTCCCAACGTAAAACTTTCCTGGAAAGTGCCACCCCTTTCGCAAGTAAAGCTGGATGTTGTTTCAGAATGAACAAAACATACAAAGATTTGTATTTTCTAAAATCTGATATGCTCTGAGCATACCTGGGGTGTATAAAACTCAAACATGAAAACATGTAAGAAAAAGAGACTATATTAACAATAAAATACACTAATATCAAATATCACTTTCAAAATAATTAGGTGATCACATACCAGTTTGCAACATCTTTATCTGGTTAGCAACTATAACATGCATGCATTTCTCTAATACTTTGCAGCACTGATTTGGCATAGCTGATGGTACACCTCATAGTGTGCTTTTACATACTGGTACAGATAGCCTTGGGAACATACTATTTTCACTGAAAACACCTGAGAATAAAGGTGTGTTCCCGAATGGATGAAGGTAGAACATCCAAGTACAAAAGATAGCCTTTGCCCTTGGTCAATAACTGAACTGTTTATATAGTATTCTTTGCAACTTCTATGCAATGTAATGCATATTAACAGAAAAGTAGAAGATGGTGAGGAGAGAAATTGAGAAAGTTCTCCTAAAAGGGGAAAAATAAAAAAGAACAAAAATATCCCCATGTGGATGAGCAATGTAAGATGTAATAATTCTCCCACTTTATGTAAAAAACATGCATTTACATTCTCTCCAAACAAGAAGTTAGCATTACTAAATTCCTTCACTTTGGAAGTTTCTTTTATTTTTTCCTTTAAAAAGTTCTTAAAGATATGGCAGAGATAAGATTCTTAAGTAGGGATATGGCATTTTTATAAAAAACCGTTTTTTAAAATTATTTGTAAAAGAAAGGTGAATCCCCTCACAAACATTAGATACTACATGCCGCCATCAAATACTTACATTTTGCGAAGATTAAACTTCATATTATTTGATAGCCTTGATGCCATCATTTACCTTGGCACTCTTGCAGCTCAACCCTAAATATGCATTTGAGCAAGTCCCTCAAAATTTGGTGGAACTTAAGTAGGGGTCTAGCCAAAAACCAAAATATTCTGTGCAGCACAAGTTAGATAAGACAGCTACATGCTTAGGAAATAACTCACCTTTTCCACAAAATCTACAGAGGAAAAAAATATTTGTAGCCATGGTTATTTCCCCCAAGAAAGCCTTTAAATAATATTAAATGATAAGAGTTGCATGGGAGAAGCAGAGGCAAATATAATGAACAACACTTAACCCCCCTTCCATGTTTCCCAAGTGTTCACCATTATTATAGTGCCATTTCAACATAAAATAGTACAGACCCCAATTTATAAACATCCAAATTACAAAAAAACCCATCCTTATGAACTGCCACAAAGTCTATTAATTAAAAAAAACTACTGTGGAAAATCAGCAGAGAAAAAATGAAAGAAGAGAGAGGGCTCCAAAGCATGCCTTCTTGCCCCACCAGGGGAACCTCACCAGCATTTCCTTGCTGCACTGGTGAATTTGGGCAAGGGAGCCTAGATTCATTTTTCCACTTTCACGGGGGTCCTGTGCCCCTAACCCATACAAAAATGGAGGGCTGACTTATACATGATCCAACTTACATGCAAATTTAACTTAAAGACAAATTTCTATTTTCTCAGGAACAGAACTTGTTGGTAACTCAAGCACTACCTGTATTTCAACTGGACTGCTGAAAGCTGCATTTTCACCTCAAGGTTTACACAGTTTAGACTATGAGAGGCACAACCCATACAAGTCTTAAAAGTTAAATCTCAAGTATAAAGACAGCGAAGCACAGCCTGCTCAGTAGTGTCTGTTTCATTATTTTTAAGAATATTAAAGCAACTATTACATCAACTTTAAACATATATTTTCCCATTTGTGACTGTAGAACATGGCTGTAAGAAACTGTGGTTGTAACCATGCCATACTGTGTTATGTGTATTTCAATTAATACCATTAGTAATAAACACACAGCAATGTCACACATTGAATCCATGGGTTTTATCATGCATTACCCAGTTGAAAAGTCTGTTTTCCATGGAGCCAATACATCCATCCATGGAGCCAATACATACACTAGGGATGTGTGAGGAATCCACTGTGTGAAAAATTCATCAGGTATCACCTTCCCAGATTCTGGTTCACTTTGCAGCAGCTCAGAGTCTGATTTCCTGGAAGGCATACCCAGTGTTTGTGGGGTACTCACCAGGAACTGAGCCCCACATCTGCACAAGCCGTGAGCAGGGAGGAAGCTTGGTTGCTGGGAATGGTGCTGGCTCACAGCTCTCCTCTTTCACATCCTGCAGCTGCTCCTGACAGGGAAGGTTGCCAATCATGTAATCAGGGGTCTGCAAGTGTTTGTGGGCTGCTTCTGGGCTCAGCTTACTTTGCAGGACCAGGCCAAGCATGAGGGGAAGTCCACGGATTCTGGGGGAAAAATTGCAAAAGGGTTCATCCCAACCCTAACATACACTTTACTTAATTATTAGCCTTCTCTTAAAACCAGTGTAACATTACATTTATTTTATTATTTATTTATGAAATTTGTATGCCGTCCAATTACTAACGTCTCTGGATGGCTAACTGCATAAATTGATGACCCACTCTGGCTGCAAATTAATAAAACACAATAATAAAATTCAATATTAAAACATATTATAATATTGATTAAATAAAAAGGTCTTAACCTGGCGCTGAAAAACATGACGACGCCAGGGAGACCTCTCTGGGGAGCGCATTCCAGTCGGGGTGCCACCGCGGAGAAGGCCCTTCTCTGGGTACTCTGTCTCCTAACATCTTTCACAGAGGGTTCCTGGAGGAGGGCTTCTGTTGCCGATCTCAGGGGGCGGGAGGGCAAATAGGGAAAAAGGTGTTCCTTAAGGTATCCTGGTCCCAAGCTGTTTAGAGCTTAATAACCAGCACCTTGAACTGAGCCCGGACTTCGATGGGAAGCCAATGGAGCTGATAGAGGACTGGGGTTATATGAGAATAACGCCCAGTCCCCAACAGCATCCTGACAGCTATATTTTGAACCATCTGAAGTATCCGGACTGTCTTCAAGGGCAGCCCCACGTAAAGCACGTTACAGAAATGCAAACGGGAAGTAACCAATGCGTGTTACTGTTGCTAGGCAACCTTCCTCCAGGTCGGGATGCAGCTGATAGATTAGCCGAAGCTGAAGGAAAGTGCTCCTAGCCACCACCATCACTTGGGCTTCCAAGAACAGCTCCAGGTCAAGGAGCACTTCCAAGCTGTGCTTTAGAGGGAGTGCAACCCCATCCAGGGCAAGGCCCAAGTCACCTATCCAGGAGCTCAAATCACCGACCAACAGAACCTCCGTCTTATCTGGATTGAGCTTCAGTTTATTGGCCCTCATCCAGCCCATTACTTCAGCCAGGCACCGGTTCAATACATCCACTGCCTCACTTGGGTTAGTTGAAAAAGAGAGGTAGAGCTGGGTGTCATCAGCATACTGATGACTCTGCAGCCCAAACCTCCTGATGACCTCTCCCAGCTGTTTCATGTAGATATTATATAGCAAGGGGGACAACATGGAACCCTGCGGTACTCCATGGCAAAGTTGCCATGACGCAGAGCCAAAGTCTCCCAGCACCACCTTCTGGAATCAGCCTTCAAGGTAGGAGTGGAACCACTGCCAAACAGTGCCTCCTACTCCCAACCCCGCCAGCCTATCCAGGAGGATGCCACGGTCGATGATATTGAAAGCCACTGAGAGGTCCAGGAGAACCAACAAGGACGCACTCCCTGTCTCTCTCCCTGCACAGGTCATCGTACAGGGCGACCAAGGCAGATTCAGTACCGTATCCGGGTCTAAAGCCAGACTGAAATGGGTGCAGATAATCAGTTTCATCCAAGAGTACCTGGAGTTGTCCCGCCACCACCCGTTCCAACACCTTGCCCAAAAATGGGATGTTGGTCACTGGTCTATAAACGGCAGCCATCTCTGGATCCAGAGATGCCTTTTCTAGGACAGACCTGATTTAGGAACAGGTTTTAATTAGCCTTTATGTTAGAAATTGAAATAAAACTTAACTTTATAAAAACAAGTAAAGGTTTTTTGCTCAGCTACAGAGTTCAATGCAAAAATTATCTCAACCATAAGTTAGTAGATCTCTCCATGTTTAATTGCACTCTTTAGATTATTACAGACAGAACACATTTTTAAAAAGGCAATTCTTTTTCACTTCCACAAATCCAGGTACAATGCAATTGTATCAGAAAGATAGACTGGAATTATAGTCATATTATTGTTACATTTGATGACATTTTTGCCATTTCTTCAGGAGAGTGACTCTTCATCACTTCTTTGATGAACTGTTCAAGTGCAGTGAAGTAACCTTGGCACTGCCAAGTGTCATTATGAGTTCCATCAGGAAATATTGCCAACCGTTTAGTCCGAGCAGGGGAAAGTTCATAAAGCTGCTTCATCATAACTGGGGGAATCAACTGGTCAGACAGCCCAGAGATGAAAAGTGATGGCATTCTACACTGAGATATTTTTCTATAAGATAAAAATTTGTTTTTATAGCACCACAAAGGGAGATACCTCATTGGGATGAAAGAAAATAGAGTGCTAGCCATATGTGGAATACTAAGGAATGTGTTCTCCACCATGATGGCAGAAATCCTATGGGAATTTTCAGATGCCAAATGAATAGCAACTGCCCCTCCTAAGGAACGGCCAAAGAGAAAAATCTTTGTCTTATCAAGATCAGATCTAGTCATCACATAATCTAGAACAGCCTCAGAATCTAAGTAGATGCCATCTTCACTTGCTTCTCCTTCACTTTTTCCATAGCCTCTATAATCAACCAGCAATAAGTTTACTTTCAGGTTCACTAGCATCAACAAAGCATTTGGCAGTCTGTGACCAATGTTTCCCGCATTCCCATGAAAGTAAATGATAGTAGGTGAGTATGAGGAATTGTCCACTGTAAATCGGAGAAGTATTAAATTGAGCAACACACCATCTTTGGTTCTGATGAAAATATTTTCATGTGGGATACCAGTAGGCATAGGAACATAAAGCCGTGATGAAGAAGGTTGCTCTGGGAAATAAAGCAACACATCCTGAAATTTATATAATATACCTGCAATAGATACAAATATTAACAGAGGTAAAATAATACCTCCATACAAATGAAAAGTTACTATCAAAGATAAGAGAGAAATACGGCAGAGACTCCAGGACCATGACACCAAAGCAAGTAGCCATTTTTCAATGACAGTCCAAAGCATCCATGATTTTTCCATTATAGTGGTCAATGAATCTTTAGTCCATATGAATCCTGAAAGAAGAAGATATACCTAAGCTTAATTTGTTTTAATACAGCAAACATTTTATACAAATGCAACATATCACAACAAAGAAAGACGCTTACTTATTCTATACATATTTCTAAGTATGCCCCATTATTGTCAATTTAAGTTACTTAACACTAAATCAATTTAAATGTCACGAGTAAATAAGCATGTGTGACAAGAGGCAAGTGTAGCTATCTAGTCCTTTTCTCTATTTGGGGTGCATCTACTTCTTTTAGTTCAAGGCAACATAAATAACAAATTTAAGCCAACTTTCCTACTTGCAAGTCAATGCATTTCTTGAACAAGCATGCATTCAGCTGATGATTTCTGCTTCCCACCTCTTCTTGTGCTGCATTTTAGCAAGACAGCCCTTTACAGCTGTCCACTGGGACACTTTGGAGGGTGTGGGATGATGGCTAGAGCACTGATATATTGTATCCTGCCTTTATCCCCTTTCTGAAATTGATCTCCTGACCTCAAAGAGGAAGTCACTGCAGTTCTTTCCATGCTGGTTGTGCGTTTATGAGGGCAGTAGACTGGAGCACAATTACCCAACTATGAGTTAGGAGTGCTGTTTCTGAAGTAAGATCAGGAAATCTGAATAAACCTATGCTCCCTTTGACAATACATAGGGGCAGTAAGTGCTGTCTAAGACATCATGGGATGTAACTCAGAGTGTTTAGTCTATCAAGAAATATAGGATTGTATCCAATGCTGACATCACCTTAGTGGAAATCACTAAGGCAAAGCCAGCTACCTGCTCAAGAGAGGACACTTGCTTTTACTGAGGCTGACAAATTTCAACGGATCTATTTTTTGGAATATCAATTCTCAAGTCACCATGTCTATTAATTAACACAGGAACAACCAAAAAGTACCAATAGATATTAAGGGCATGATCCTATACAGTGGTACCTTGGCTCTCAAACGCCTCAGTTCACAACCAAATTGGGTTGCAAACAGAAATTTCATAAAAATTTTGCCGCAGGTCGTGTTCCTTGGCTGAGCGTGCCCACGTCCACCTTCCCCCACCGGGCGCCAGCGCCTTCACCCACCTCCCCCTCCAGCACTCCTGTGATCGAGCCAGTCTTCCCCCACCCCCCCGCATGATCGCTGGGGGGGCGGGGAGATGGCCGCGATCTTTGTTGTTCTTTGTCACTTTGCTTCAAATTTTTGTAATAAAAAAATAGTTACAGAATGGATTAACCTTATTTACATTGAACCTTATGGGGAAATTTGACTAGGCTCACAACCAATTTGGGTCATGACCAGAGTCCTGGAATGGATTAAGCTTGTGAGCCAAGGTACCACTTGCAAATAAATAAGCACAAACTGTGCTACAGAGCTAGAAGTACATCATCAGCCTGACAAAAGGATTTCTTCAGTCTCATTTCCATTTCCAAGCAAGGAATACTCTTAGCTTTTTTTTTTTTTAAGATGGCATAATCCAAAACTTAGTACCATATTTAAAAACACCTGTTTCTGAAGATTTGAACTGAGCTTCTGCTGACTTTTGTCCTTAGTTTTCAAATGCTAGGTTCAGACACTCCTGCCTCCCCACAGCATGGACATGTGGAAACAGAAAATGTTCACTTCCATTTTCAACTAACTGTGGCCTGCTACTGTGTCTGAACCAAGGATTTTTACATATTCTAATAAATTCAAGGCGAATTTATCATAAGCAACTGGTAACTGAAAAATCTACATACTTGATGCCAGCACCCAGGTGGTTGAAATATTTATTCTTCAGCCCTCTGCAGGGCCTAGAAACATAATGTTGGCTTTCACCATCCTTGCATAGGACAACAAAACTATTCTCAAGCTAAGATAAAAGCTCTACTAATAGTTTCTCACATGACATTGTTAGATGGAACAAAATTATATTGTATCTATTAGAAAAAGTTACTAGGTTTACTGACGAAGATGTCAATGAAGACTATGAAGGAAAACTATTTACATGTCTAGTTACCCAGTACATTAGCAGTATTTCAGTCCTGTGAGTAATCAAAAGCTTCTTAAAGAGCAGCAGTTACAACATATAACATATATGCAGGAGCAGGGTCAAAGATGAGCAGGGTCTGCTCTGTTTAAGACTTCATCCCCACTAACTCATCAGCCCCTGTGGGAAGGAGTAAGGAAGACAGAAGCATGCAGAACATGAATTTCCTCCCTTCAGGAAATGAGAGGTGAACTACAGCCATTCTACCAGCCCAGCTTATATATTATTTTTTACCCTCCACTGTCCCCTTCTCCTAATGTGGCCTGTCTTTATTAATTACAAAGCTGTTTTTTGATGAGGAGCACAATAATAAAGAAATACAAGTTGTTATTCCTTAACACTTAGTTTTGGTTTCTTTTTTTTCTTCTTAAAAGTAATACACAAAAATCGAACAAACTCAGGTCACCCAGAGAAAACAAGAGTGGCAAAAGAATTATTTACTGATTCACTATATTATAGACCCTTACATATGGTTCCTTCATCAGGCAGATTATAAATAATGCTTTAAATTAGACACTGTGCACTGCAACAATTATCTGTTTTTGTTATCATGCTGTTTCTCTCTCTTAATCCAGATGCCACCTCAAAATTCATGTAGGGTTTTACCTACTATAGAAAAACTTTATGGCTTTCAATTGGTGACAGTGCTGCCAGTGTTTGGGTTTTGATACGACTGCTTACACACCATTCAGCTGCAGCCCAGAGGTTTAACAGGTTAGGTAACAAAATACTGCATATGTACCTCTTAAAGTGCTTCCAGGGCCCCTCCTCCCATTTGACTGAAGCACAGCAGCAACACATTTGCTAAGACTAAGCACATAGGCCCTGAACTGCTCACTCGACAGTGTCAATCCCTAGATGCTCCAGACAAACTGATATTAGGTATCGGAACTAGTAAAGGACTCCCCGTCTAAAGCCCAGAAGAGATACCAGGCAGAATTGGCGATACCGATCTAGGCTGGAACAGTACTGCCCACAAATAAGGCAGCGTCCCACGCTCCTCCTTTCCACAGAGGCAGGCGTGGGAGAGCGAATTCCATGAGCACGAAAGCATGAAAGCATGACTCCTGTATAAATCTCCAGGAAACTTCTAGCCTTGTTCGAGGACGAATAAAGCGTGAATGCAGGCATGAGGGAGCTGTGTCCGAAGCGTGTGGACCGCTGCTGCTCCTCGCTAAGCTTCGACAATGACCACAGTATAAACGGATCTGCCGCACCGGCGCCGTTCAACTGAAAAGCCCCAGCAGCCCCCCGCACCTTTGGGCGAACGGGCGGGATGGCGCGGCTCCCATGCCAGCTCGCCTACCTACACCTCCAGCGCCCCACTCGCACTGACGGAGCCCCGGCACAGCGGCTTCATCGCTCCCCTAGGCGGGACGTTCCACGCCTGGCCTTCCTCCCAGCTCAGGAACTCCACGCTCAACAGCCATTTCCGGCAAGGTAGAGCAGCCGCGGAGCTAGCGCTTCCAGGTCAAAGCGTGAAGGACAGGGTGTTACGCAGCGGAACTCCGCATGAGCCTATCAGAGGGCTTCTTATTGCCAAGTCGTGGCTTGGTAGGAGGAGCTTCCCAAGAGTGAATCGGGGCGGCGGTGGCGGTTTTATTTTCCTTTCCTATATATCGAGGAGGTGCTGTTTTTTCTTTCATAGAAATCTTTGAGGCATTTATCCGGGAATGTGGAAGCAGTGCTTTAGCTTCGGCCTGTAAGTAGGAAAGGGAGGCCGACTGCTGTAGAGGGACGCTCACGGTTTCCTTCGTCCATGGAACGGAGTGGTGCTGCTGTCATTTCTACGGGAAATGATTGTGCTTGGGAAGTGATTGATATTTGTTGTTATGTCCCTACGTTTACATAGACCAGGAGGAATTTGTAATTAAAATTCGACGCAGGGGAAACAGCAGAGGAAGGGGAGAGAAGTGAAGGAAGGATGATGCGATGATTACTTTCAACTTTAGAATAAAAAGGTTATTCCATTTTTTGAACCAGAAGTAGTGTTAAGGACTGTGTTAGGATAGTACTTTTTTATGACCAATTCTATATGGGCGGCTTTCTACAACATGGCACAGACACAGGAGTGTCATTCTTTTCCTGTGCCCTGAGAGAAAAAGGGCAGGGAAATTGAAAGGGTTTGCAGATTGCATACATTTTCTGTCTGTCTGTGCTGCATGGTTCAGTATGTTTATTAATTATATTCTGCCTGTTCTCCTGGCAAGGAACCTTTGTGGCCTGCATAATCTTCTGGCACCTCCATTTTATCCTCACAACAACTCTGTGAGATAAGTTAGGCTGAGAGTCAGTGACTGGCCCAAAGTCACCCAGTGAGCTTCATGATTGAGTGGGAACTAGAACCTGGAGCACCCAAGTTTCAATTCAACACTTTAACCACTGACTCTTACAAGGGCTCATGCTGGCAACAGGGGGAACTGACTATTATGTTGTTTCCCTGTTTCTGGGCAGTGCAAGAGGGGGAACTGGAACTGGGTCTGATCCACCCCACCCCAGCAGCCAGGCAGGAGCAACATACAATGCAGCTGCTCACATAAGAAACAGCCTACTTTTCTGCTAAGTTGCTTACCTGCCTGTTTGCACATTCTTTGGTCAGCAAACTTATGGCTTGATTTATATCAAAAGACATATAAAGTAATTATTTTACCCAAATGCTCTTTTGCTTAGTTTCTTAAAACGCTTTTAAAACTCTTGCTTATGATGCCTAGTTTTTCTGGCCCTTCGGTATCCTGGCATTGTATGCTCCTGGTTCATAGCAGTCTCTGTTGCTTCCTAGTCTTAGACTTACCAGAGGTTTGGTACCTCACTTCCTCCGTGTATGACAAGCTAAGTGCTTGGGCTGCATCTGTTGGTGCTCATTTATTTTGCTGATAAATCTTTATGCCATAGAACCAGGGGTTCTGCCATTCAGCCCTAAGCCTTTCTATCCAGAACATATGGTTCTGATTGCCTGCAATAATAAATAAACGCAAAAATAGTGCTCAGCAGTATGTATAGTCAGCAGGGGATATGAATGTCATCTACTAAAACTGTTTAATACTAAAAATGTACAGATGTGAAAATTCATACAGCAGATACAGTTTTTATTACATTAGTAATGACAGTTTTGTCCTTGTGTAAGTGACCTGAGCTTGAATGTTTTCTTGAAGTGAAAACCTCCAAGACTAGCAACTGTCTTGAAAGCCAACAATGTTTGCCTTATTTTGTATTAGCTTGGTATCAGTGACTACACATGAATTAACTTTGTTTAGTTGTGTCTCCAGTTACTTTTTACTTGTACCTTGAGCCATAACTGTTTGGAATTGTTTGTTGTATGTGAAATTATCAAATCAGTCTTGGAGTAGGATGCCTATTTTCCAGTTAACTAATCCCTAACATGATCATTGTGTATCTTGATTCTTATGCAGTAAGTAGCCCAGCTACTTGTGGGATATTTGCATCATTGGAACAACTCTGCTGAGAGGCTCTACTGCCCACATTAAAATAACTCTTGTAAGTGTGCATCTCAGAGTTCGTGTGCTTATATACTCATCCACGTAGGTTATTCCTGTATATGCTGAACTTGAGACATATTCCCATTAAATTCAATGGAATTTCCTCCCAAGACCATAGATTCAGGTTGCATATGGTTCCAGTAATATGGGGTATTTTCCCATAGAAAAAAATCATAAGTTCATTAGTGAACTTTGAAACTTGGGAATGTCAAAGTTGCCATTATTTTTCAGATGATTATCCCTAGGAAGTATGTGAGAAAATGCATATGCTGTTGATGTATGTATCACTCCTAAGTAGTGACAATAAAACAGAAGGTGCCCCAGCACTCTTAGTGGAAGTGTGTTGGAATATTCAAATAGTTGAGTGGTTGTAAGCTTATTATGCTCAATTCCTTATGTTGCTAAACTCTGTGACAACAGTACCAGTAACTTTTTGTAAAATTTAGACCATCTAATAATTTTTATTATATAACATTTGAATATGTTCTTTAATTGTTCATGAAAGCAAAAAAGGGGAAACAATTCTGAGGTACCTGAAAAAAGTATTTATTTTGCCCAACATGTTTCAGAATTTTTTTCCCTTCAGTGGGGGTTTCAATTAAAATTTTGTCATTAGACATGGTTAGCATTTTGTACTATCCCTAAATGGCCAAACATTGTCAAGCAGTTGCATCACTTAGTGTGCAGGCTTACACCCACTAGACATTATTCAGATGGCCACAGGAAAATTAGAGCTCTGGTTCCAACTCTGATTTGGAAGATTGGCACTCCACATTTGGAGCATTTTCCTTTTGCCTTTGCACTGGCTCCAGCTCCAAAGATACAACTGAACTTGCACTGGGGGAGTAGGGAAAGGAGGAATGGGACTCCACCAGTATGCAAGGTATCTTACCAGTCTCTCAGTCCCTCTTCCCTCTGTGCAGGGGTAAAACTACCACCTAATTGTTTTGGAGGGGGCAGGAGCTCCAAGGCAGTCCTTATCTCTGTGCTCCTTCTATTCCACCTTCCATTGGATGCTAATAATCTTCCAAGTGCAGAGAATTCTGGCCAGTCGAATTGCATGGCACTGTTAATGTGGACTGCTGATTATACAGCTTATAGCATTTATGAAATATACCGGTTAACAAGAAGGGGAACATGCTTTCAAATCCATTGACCAAAATTTTCTTTCCTGGCACCTGGTATTTCTTTTGTCCTTTGTTTTTTGATACACAAGTATCTTTCATTGTGTTTCTTTAATTTCCTCCCTCAAATATTTCAGGTCAAATATTTGTAATCTGAGACAAAAAAAAGTTAAATTAGGTTGCTTGGGTCACTAAATACAAGCAAATTAAAATTAAATTAGATCTTTTTAGGAATGTGATGGGCAATTTGTGACTTTCCAAATGTTTTGGCCTCTAGCTCCCATCAGGTCTAGCATGGGATCATAGGAGCTGTGACATCTTAGATAGTTTAGCCTACAAGTTACCTGCCCCTGCTCCAGAATATAGAATATTTTCCAATGCAAACTGTTCCTTATGCAAATAGTGCTAAATAAATTTTCCAAAGCAGTTTTTTTTTAAATCCGCATCACTGTATAGTTTACCTTAATGTAGATGAATCCAAGGTAAAAGGTTAAACATCCAGAGGAGAATACAAATAACATTTTAATGCATTTTAAATATGGAGCCATGGGACTAATTAAGAAGAAAACAGTAAGAAAAACTGCCTGGAAACAAAAGATTGGCATACATTTTTAATCACTTTAATTTGTTTTTGTAGGAAAAAGGTATAATGAAGATGTCATCCATCCCTGCTTTACATTCTTCTTCCCCCCTAACCGTGGCATCACAAGTTCCTTTTGCAGATCTCTGCTTAACATTAGAACGAATACAGACATGCAAATCCCGACCAGACAAAACAAAGTATTTCAAGGATTTTTTAGATTCTTGGAGGAAATTTCATGATGCTCTTCATAAAAATGAGAAGGATGTGACAGATTCCTTTTATCCGGCAATGAGGCTTATTCTTCCACAGTTGGAAAGAGAGAGAATGGCTTATGGAATTAAAGAAACTATGCTTGCAAAGCTCTATATTGAGCTGCTAAATTTACCAAAAGATGGGAAAGATGCTTTAAAATTGTTACATTATCGGATGCCTGTTGGAGGAGATGCTGGAGACTTTGCTATGATTGCCTATTTTGTGTTGAAATCAAGATGTGTCAAGCAAGGTCAACTGACTATACAACAAGTAAATCAACTTTTAGATGCTATTTCAAATAATAATGCCGCTAAAAGGAAGGATCTGATCAAGAAGAGTCTTCTTCAGTTAATAACTCAGTGCTCAGCACTTGAACAAAAATGGTTGATCAGGATGATCCTAAAGGATCTGAAACTTGGTATTAGTCAGCAGACTTTATTTTCTATTTTCCATGCTGATGCTGCAGAGTTACACAGTGTTACAACTGATTTGGAGAAGGTTTGCAGAGAGTTGCACAATCCCTCTGTGTTTCTTAGTGATGTTTCTATTTCATTATTCTCACCTTTTAAACCAATGCTAGCTGCTATTGCCAATATACAACAAATAGAAAAACAAATGAACAAACAGAGTTTCTACATAGAAACTAAATTAGATGGTGAACGAATGCAGCTTCACAAAGATGGAGATGTTTACAAGTATTTTTCCCGAAATGGTTATGATTATACCCCGCAATTTGGAGCTTCTCCTCTTGAAGGTTCATTGACTCCATTTGCTCATAAGGCCTTTAAAAACAATATTCAAAACTGCATTGTGGATGGTGAAATGATGGCCTACAGTCCCATCACACAGACCTTCATGCAGAAGGGAAACAAATTTGACATTAAAAGGATGGTAGATGATTCTGAATTGCAGACATGCTTCTGTGTGTTTGATGTTCTAATGGTTAATGACCAAAAGCTGGGTCATGAGATACTGAGCAAAAGATATGAAATACTAAATAAGATTCTTATGCCAATAGCAGGTCAAATACAAATTGTTCCTAAAAGGCAGGCTAGCACACAGAAAGAAGTGGTAGATGCTCTAAATGAAGCAATTGATAATAGGGAGGAAGGGATTGTGGTAAAAGACCCTATGTCAATTTACAAACCAGACAAACGTGGAGAAGGGTGGCTAAAGATCAAACCTGAGTATGTCAATGGACTGATGGATGAGCTGGATCTTTTAATTGTAGGGGGCTACTGGGGAAAAGGTCTTCGTGGTGGAATGATGTCACATTTTTTATGTGCAGTTGCTGAGACTCCTCTACCTGGTAAAAAGCCATCTGTATTCCATTCCATTTGTCGTGTTGGCTCTGGTTACACAATGAAAGAGCTGTACAATCTCAGCTTGAAATTAGCCAAATATTGGAAACCATATTGTAAACGGGATCCTCCTTACAATATCTTGTGTGGGATTGAGAAACCTGAAGTCTATATCGAACCTTGCAATTCAGTCATTGTTCAGATTAAAGCTGCTGAGATTGTTAGTAGTGATATGTATAAAACTGATTGCACGTTACGTTTCCCTCGCATCGAGAAGATAAGAGAAGATAAAGAATGGCACGAATGTATGACTCTTGACCTTCTGGAACAACTCAGAGGTAAAGCTTCTGGGAAGCTAGCAAGTAAGCACTTTGAAATGGTTGATGATGAACCACAAGAAAAAAAACGTAAAACTATGCAAAAGGTTAAAAAAAAGATAGGCTTAATTGATCATTTCAAAGCCCCTGATCTTTCTAAAGTGAACAAAATTTCTAGTATATTTGAAGATATTGAATTTTGTGTTATGACTGGGACAGGAAGATATTCAAAATATGAGTTAGAAAGTAAAATAGCAGAATATGGTGGCAGCATAATACAAAATCCTGGGCTGGATACCTACTGTGTTGTTGCAGGGGTTGAGAATGTTAGAGTAAAAAATATTATTTCATCCAACAAGTATGATGTTGTAAAAGCAGAGTGGCTTTTGCAGTGCTTTCAGACTAAAAGCTTTGTGCCATGGCGACCTGCTTATATGATTCACATGTCTTCAGAAACAAAACAACACTTTGCCTGCAAGTATGATTTTTATGGTGATAGTTACACAGTTGATACTGATATGGCCCAATTAAAGGAAGTGTTCTCAGGAATTAATAACTTTGAGGAAGAGCTCTCCTGGGATGTGCTGACTGACCTAGAAACACATTATTCATGGGAAAGCTCTCCATTCAGTATGTTCAGGCAGCACATCATTTACCTGGACCTTTATGATAAAGTGAGCAATTCTGATGCCAAGTTCAGTCAAACAAGATTGTTAACTGGAGCACTGATGCTTCGTTTTCATGGAGCGAAAGTAGTCTCACAACTTGAAGAGGGTGTGTCCCATGTAATCATTGGCAATCATGATAATTTGAAGAAAATAAAGACGACCAGAAAAATGTTTAAAAGAAAGTTTAAAATTCTGTCATATCAGTGGATAAGGGATTCTATAGATGCTGGGAAATTACAAGATGAAAAATTTTATTTACTTTAAATTATTTATTTGATAGGAAAAGATATATTTTGTGAACTTCATATGTTTATTCAAAAGAATTCTTCATACTCATTTTAATACTTTCATATTCTTTGGAAGTTTGGCAGTAAATTATATTTGGGAATGAAAGAAAATCTTTCACAGTGTTGAAAAACAGGATGAGAATTGTTCTTAGAGTTGAATTTTGTTTTACCTAGCTAATAATGTTGCCTTTTACAAGAAATTCTTGTTTTACCAAGTTAATGTGTTAACATATTCTTAGAACCTAATCTACAAAGTAGCCTGGGATCTGTGATGCTGAATTAATTTGAGCTTACTAAAATTAAATGGGTCTACAAGGGCTCCATTCCCAGTACTATGAATTACCTGGTTTGTGGATTAAGCCATTATACATTAAAAATCAAATTGATTGTTTCATATTTTTAATGTTTTTCTTATGATGACTTAACTTGAATAACAAATTAAGAAATGGTTTTTTTATTATAAAACAAGCATTCTGTAGTAGTCATCAAGCAATCTGAAACACGGTGTTTGGGATTTCTTTCAATAAAAAATGATACATAGCTATTGCTAATAATAAATATGTTAAATTATTCTCCAGTTAGACACATGTGAGTTTTAGGCATATTTATACAATCAAAATAGAACCATTCAAACTATTTAGTTATATTTCTTATTCTAATTGTATTTATTATACCAATAAACTTGAGAAGATAATTCTTCATTTTTCTTAGCTTCAGTCGTACATTTTGATCTAGTGTATTAATTTGTATATTTTTATGTAGCTAGTTTATTTTGTGTAATTTAAAAAGAGAATGTCATATTATAATCCTTACATGTGAATACATGACTGTTCTAGTGAAGGAGTTGAATTAAATGTTAAAAGAGAACCAAGGTATTCATTTCTGGAGAGTGTTGAACTGATTTTCAATAGCTTGAGTGTCATTTAAGGATAAAAACAATGCACAAATGATTCTGTATTTTAGTATAAAGAATTATGCAAATAAAACCTGTTTTTAAACTAATCTACTTCTGTTTTGAACTGAGGAGAACTTCCTGAGAATATTATTTATTTACTTACTTACATATATTTATAGGCTGCCTATAATTGCTGAGGCCTTCCAAAGGCGGCTTACATTAAATTTTTATTATTATTATTATTATTATTATTATTATTATTATTATTATTATTATTATTATAACATTTCTATGCCGCCCCTTGCCGAAACCTCGGGGCGGCTTACAACATGATAAAATACATTGAAATACAATAGTACATAATAAATTACCATTAAATATAACAATACAAAAAATACATTGATTTACAAATACAAAATTAAAATTATCAGTATAAAATAAAAATATAGGAGGAGAAAGAGAAGGAAGAAGAAGTTGCCCAGGCCAGATCATATGTTTTAACAATTGAAATGATGTTTAAATAAAAAGGTCTTTACCTGGCGCCGAAAAACCAGTAACGACGGTGCCAGGCGGACCTCTTTGGGGAGTGAATTCCATAGGTTGGGCGCCACCGCAGAGAAAGCCCTCCTCCGGGTACTTACTCTCCTAATTTCTTTCATGGAGGGTTCCCGGAGAAGGGACTCTCCCGCAGATCTCAAAGGGCGGTCGGGCATATACGGACGTAAGCGCTCGTTCAGGTAGCCAGGACCCAAGCCGTTTAGGGCTTTGTAGGTCATAATCAACACCTTGAATTGGGCCCGGGCTTCAATGGGAAGCCAGTGAAGCTGATGGAGGACTGGAGTCATGTGAGCATAACGCCCCGTCCCCGTCAGCAACCTGGCAGCTCTATTTTGCACCAATTGAAGTGTTCGGACTGTCTTCAGGGGAAGCCCCACGTAAAGCGCGTTACAGAAGTCTAGGCGGGAAGTCACCAGCGCGTGTGTCACCGTCGCCAGGCAGTCGTATTCCAGGTAGGGGCGCAGCTGATTAATCAGCCGAAGCTGAAGGAAGGCGTTCCTCGCTACCGCTGTCACCTGAGCTTCCAAAGAAAGCTCCGGGTCGAGGAGTACACCTAAGCTGCGGACCTTATCCCTAAGAGGGAGTGTTGCACCATTCAGGACCAGGTCAAATCCAGCCTCTCCGAAACCCGATCCGCCAACCAACAGGACCTCCGTCTTGTCTGGGTTGAGTTTCAGTTTATTGGCCCTCATCCATTCCCTTACCTCGGCCAAGCACCGGTTCAGCACAGCCACTGCCTCATCTGGATTAGTGGAGAATGAGAGGTAAAGCTGGGTATCATCAGCGTATTGATGATTCCACAGCCCACACCTCCTGATGACCTCTCCCAGCGGTTTCATATAGATGTTAAATAGCAGAGGGGATAGAATGGAGCCCTGTGGTACCCCATGGCATAGCTGCCATGACGTAGAAACATGGTCCCCCAGCACTACCTTCTGGAATCGACCGTCGAGATAGGAGCGGAACCACTGCAAAGCAGTGCCTCCAACCCCCAATCCTGCAAGTCTATCCAGAAGGATACCATGGTCGATGGTATCGAAAGCCGCCGAGAGGTCCAGAAGAACCAACAGGGATGTACTCCCCCTGTCCTTCTCCCTGCACAGGTCGTCGTACAGGGCGACCAAGGCAGATTCAGTACTGTACCCGGGTCTGAAGCCGGACTGAAAAGGATCCAGATAATCAGTTTCCTCCAAGAGTGCTTGGAGTTGTCCCGCCACCACTCGCTCCAGCACCTTGCCCAGAAACGGGATGTTGGCCACAGGTCTATAGTTAGTGGCCATCTCTGGATCCAGTGACGCTTTCTTCAGGACCGGTCGTATTACCGCCTCCTTTAAAGGGGCAGGCACTCGACCCTCCCTCAGAGAAGCGTTAACCACTTCCAAAATCCAGGTCCCAATCCCGTGCTTGCAGTTATTTATTAACCAAGACGGGCAAGGATCCAATAGGCACGTGGTGGGACGTACTCTTCCAAGCACCTTGTCCACATCATCGGGCCGCAATAATTGAAATTCCTCCAGTAATTTTGGACCAGACAGTGGCATTGGCGACTCCTCAGAGACCTCTGATTCATTAGTGGAGTCCAGCTCGTGACGAATCTGAGCGATTTTCTCCCTGAAATGCCTGGCAAAGTCGTCACAGCGGCATCGGATCTTCCTTAGGACCCAGGCGAACCAGGCCTTGCACCACTCGAAAAAGCTCCGCTGGACGGCATTGTGAGGAGGCAATGGAAGCAGAAAAAAACTTCTTTTTCGCCGCCTTCACCGCCACAGCATAGGCCCGATAGTGGGCTCTCAAGTGTGTTCGGTCAGATTCATCCCGTGATTTCCTCCACCTACGCTCTAGCCGTCTCCCAACTCGCTTCATCGCCCGTAATTCAGGTGTATACCAAGGGGAAGAGCGGACTCTGCCCGGTGGGAGAGGACGCTTAGGAGCGATTGTGTCCACAGCCCTGGTCATCTCTCCGTTCCACAGTTCGACCAGAGCCTCGACAGGAGCACCAGTCTTGTCAGCCGGAAATTCCCCCAGGGCCCCCAGGAATCCATCCGGATCCATCCGGCTCCGGGGGCGGGCCCATACAATCGGGTCCGCACTCTTATAGAGGGAGAGGCCGCTCTCGAGCACAAACCTCACCAGGAGGTGATCTGACCATGACAGGGGAGTCAAACATAAGTTCTTCACCCTCAGGTCATCCTCTACCTGCCCCGTCGTGAATACCAGGTCCAGAGTGTGTCCACGTTCATGGGTAGGGCCAGTGACGTGTTGAGACAGGCCCATGGCCGTCATAGAGGCCATGAAGTCCTGAGCCGCCCCGGTCAGTCCAGACTCGGCATGGAGATTGAAGTCCCCCAGGACCAACATCCTGGGGGTCCTCAACACCAGATCCGAGACGGTCTCTGTCAGCTCAGATAGGGAGACTGCTGGGCAGAAAGGTGCACGGTACACCAATAGAATCCCCAATCTGTCTCGTTCGCCCAACACCAAGTAGAGGCACTCCAGCCCTGGTCTCAAAGGGACCGGAAGACCCGTGAGAGAGATGGAGGCTCTGTAAACCAACGCGACTCCCCCTCCCCTCCCTTCTGGGCGTGAACAGTGTTGAACCAGATACCCGGGCGGGCACAACTGGGAGAGGGCAACATCCTCTCCCTCTCCCGCCCAGGTCTCCGTTATGCAAGCCAGGTCAGCCCCCTCATCCACAATCAAGTCATGGATGAGGGAAGATTTATTATTGATCGACCTGGCATTGAGCAGCAGCACCGTCAGACCCGAGGGGTGGTTGACAAGGCTACCTGGCGCCCTCTGGTTGGGGGCAGGATCAGAAGGAGGGACAGGTGTCAGCCATCTGTCCATCCTTCTTCTACGTGGACACGTTAAGCCCCTATTGTTGTAACGACCATTGCCCGTGACCACGCCAATAGCAGCCCCCGTGGGTTCCCCAGGATATATAAACGTCGACATGGCCAGGAATGACTCAAAGCACTAATTAAAGCAGGGTAAGATTATAAAGTAGGTTGGAGGAGGAGAAAAAGAACGATAAAAAGAAAAAAAAGAAAAAGGGGATCCTTCCTCTTCCCTGAGAATCAGCAGTAGGCAAGCCTATTTCAACAAGAGTCCATGGCCAGCCCAGCCCCCCTCTCGTCCCCCCGAACGGCACCCCAAACGGCGGCGACCCCTTTGGTCGCCGCCCCGAGGCCGCCGGCCCCGGCCGTTGCTGCGGCTTTGACTCCGCAGGGCGCCTCCGAGACCCGCCCCGTCGCGCACCGCGCGCGCCCGATCACCTGGGCTGGCGGGCGGCGCTCTCCGGCGCCGCGTGCGGCCGCGCTGGCCGGTGGAGCTGGCTGCCGTTGAGGTCGCAGCCGCGTGCGTCTGCCTGCATTCGCTTGCCCGGGAGCGGCGTGATGCTGGGGGTGGGCGGAAGCGTCTCTTGCAGCGCGGGGTCGGTGTTTCCTGCCTGGGGGGCCGTTCCCTCCTGGCCGTTGCCACGGCTTTGACTCCGCAGGGCGCCTCCGAGACCCGCCCCGTCGCGCACCTCTCTGTATTTCTCAAAATACTCATTTATATTTTTCTACTGGGTAACGGAATTCCACATTAGCATTTCACATCAAATGACATTTTTTCCTTGTTATATGCTGTGTTCCTAACATACAAATCAAGAGTGAGGAAATGTTTTGAGTTTTAATGCATGCATTTTATTTTATTTAAAGAAGCTATCGTCATTCTTTCTTTAAATAAAATGTCTTACATGACAGTTATCTCTTGCAATTTGTCTGTTACATTAGGCCAGCCTTTCTTAATCTTTTACCTTGGAGGAACCCTTGAAATAATTTTCACGTCTCAGGGAAACCCTGCATAAAAATTAATATGAAGGTAGACCCTGGATTTACTGTAAATAAAAGCTATAAATTGATGTTAATTGTATTTACAACATGAAAATTTATTGACAACATTGAATAACATAGTTACAGATAATCATAAGATAAAGCAATAAGAACAAAACATTGGCTAATGTAGTGCTATTTTTGAAACTAGAAGAATGAAGTTTACTTATTTAATGTGAAGCCTGTGCCTTTTCTCTCTCTCTTTTTTTTTAATGGCTGCCCAAATATTTAATTCTAGGTCAAAATTTGGACATCAGGTTAGGAAAGAGTGATTTTGCAGCATCTCCCAAAGTCAGTAAAGCCCTCAGTCCAACCTGTGTACATGCACTGAGAAGTACCATGAAATTTGTATTATTGTTGTTATTAATGTTTATACAATATATTAATGTTGAATAATAGATTTGTGTATTAATGCATATATGATAATATATAGTATACCACCCTGCCAGCTTTCCCATGAGGACTGCTTAGTGGATTAACGGGGAAAGCCCCTTTAGCCCAGTCTCATTTGCCTGTGGGAAGGATCCACCAGCCAGATGCAAAGATAGCAGCCTTCTCCACCTCTTTGTCCCAGCACCCCACCCTAGAGATAAGACTACCTCTGACTTCTCTGATGGCCCACCATTTCCTGCTCCTGCTGCTTACCAACTGGTGCCCATTTCTCGCCCCTTCAC